TATAAATTCTTTATTTAGAAAGCAGTTTATCTTTAGAGAGTGAGTAGTCTAAAAATAAACCCCACACTGACTCTGTTCTGCATCTCTCAGTGAAAAAGTTTGAAAAAGAATTCCTATAGTTGTAACCATTGAAAAACAATCTGTGGGAGAACCTAAAAAGCTAATTGTCTAGAAAGATAACAATCTTCAAACAGAGGGTTAAAATGAATACTATAAATCAGGAATTTTAGGGGACAAAAATTAACCTTAGTAAGGTTTCTATTTGGAGGAATATAATTAGATTGTGATGATGTTTATATAACCCTATAAATATATTAGTCTTCCTTTGTCCACTTTCCACAGTTTGTTAGCTACAACTGTCCACTGTCCAAAAATTTAAATGGGAAATTTCAGAAAAAAATCATAAGCTTTAAATTGTGCGCCGTTCTGAGTAGCATCATGAAATCTTATGCTAGCCCTCCTGGAATATGAATCGCCCCTTTGTCCAGTGTAACTGGTCTGTGTGTATTGCTTGCTCATTAGTGATCTGTGGCCATCTCAGTTGCCAGATGGACGGACATAGTATTGCAGGGCTTGTATTCAAGTAACTTATTTTACTAATGGCATCAAAGTACAGAGTTGTGATGCTGATAAATCTGATATGACAAGAGGAAGCTATAAAGTGCTTCTTTTAAGTGAAAAGTTGAATGTTTTCCACTTAAGGAAAGAAAAAAAGTTTATCTATGATAACAACAGATCTTCTAAATATGAAATTGTGAAGAAGGAAAAAGAAATTCATGTCAGTTTTGCTATCACACCTCAACCTGCATGCACCACAGTTCTTGGTACACGTTTATTTCAGACAGAATAAGCATTAAATGATAGAGTTCAGTACTGTCTGTGGTTTCAGGCACACACTGGGGGTGTGGGACATACATCTTGAGGGTGGGGGTGTGGGAACTACTGTATACCAATAGCCACTGATTTGAGGAGGTGGCTTCCATAGTATGTAAATTACATCTCAATTTTGCAAAGAATGAACCTGACTGCAGGGCAACTGGTAGCTAAGACCTATCTAGCATGGAGTAAGAGCAAGAACTTGGAGGGTGAACTTCTGTATGCAGGACAGCAGTGAAATGTGTTGCATGGAGGGAGAGCAGATTAAATAAGTAAGAATACTGGGAGCCTGGTTTCTCACTATTGAAAAACAGTTTCAACTTTGGAGTAGAGGAAGCTAGAGTTAGCCCTGTGGTTTAGATTAGAGTTATCATTGTGAATATTGTGTGTGTATGTAGATTTACAAATAAAACGAGTATAAGCATGTGCATATATGTATATATAAGTATATATATATACACACATATGTGTACATGCAGATACTATGTAACTGTCTAATGGTGGGCCTAGAGGACAGTGATATCCCTCCCAAAAGCAATGTATAGCTGGTGTTTAGCTCTCAATATTCTAAATACCTTTCTTCCCTAAGAAAACCAGGGCTACTTGTAGAAAATAAATGATAGCAAGGTTGAGACAGAGCATGAGCCTAGAATACCTTCTACCAGAAAGTAAAGAAGTACTCAGAAAATGACAAGAATATGTCAAAAGTTCACAGAGCAGAGGCCAGCGTTGTGGCAGAGCAGGTAAAGCTGCTGTCAACATCCCCATATGGATGCCAGTTCGTGTTCCAGTTGCTCCACTTCTGATTGATCACCCTGCTAATGGCCTGGGCAAAAAGCAGTTGAGAGGATGGTTCAAGTGCTTGAGCCCCTGCCACCCACATGGGAGAACTAGATGGTACATGGCTCCTGACTTCAGCCTGGCCCAGTGCTGGCTGTCGGCCACCTGGAGAGTGAACCAGTGGATAGAAGATCTCTCTTTTTGCTTTGCTCTCTCTCTGTCTGCAACTCTGACTTTCAAATAAATAAATAAATAAATAGTTTAAAAAAAAAATGAGGCCAGCACTGTGACATAACAGGTAAAGCTGCCGCCTGCAGGCATCCCATATGGGCGCCGTTTTGAGTCCCTGCTGCTCCACTTCCGATACAGCTCTACTATGGCCTGGGAAAAGTTGATGATGGTCCAAGTCCTTGGGCCCCTACATCCACATGGAAGACCTGGAAGAAGCTCCTTGCTCCTGGCTTGGAATTGGCACAGCTCCAGCCATTGTGGCCATCTGGAGAGTGAACCAGCGGATGGAAGACCTCTCTTGCCTCTCCTCTCTCTGTGTTATTCTGACTTTCAAATAAATAAATAAATAAAACTTAAAAAAAAAAAAAGCTTACATAACCCAAATGGAAAGGGCTTATCCTAGCCAAAATTAGAATAATTTGAGAAATAAATGAATACAGTAATAGATTAGATCCTTCTATAGAGAAATAGATGAATAAGTTTTAAAAAAATAAATTTAGAAAAATAGCTTTTTTTATTTTTTTTTAAATTTTTTATTTAATTTCTTTTTGACAGGAAGAGTGGATAGTGAGAGAGAGACAGGGAGAAAGGTCTTCCTTTGCCGTTGGTTCACCCTCCAATGGCTGCCGCGGCAGCGCGCTGCAGCCGGCGCACCGCGCTGATCCGATGGCAGGAGCCAGGTACTTATCCTGGTCTCCCATGGGGTGCAGGGCCCAAGGACTTGGGCCATCCTCCACTGCACTCCCTGGCCACAGCAGAGAGCTGGCCTGGAAGAGGGGCAACCGGGACAGAATCCGGCGCCCTGACCAGGACTAGAACCTGGTGTGCCGGCGCCGCCGCAAGGCGGAGGATTAGCCTAGTGAGCCGCGGCGCCGGCCGAAAAATAGCTTTTTGAGAAGCATGTTGGTAATTAACCAAGAGACATTAACAGATGCTAAAAATAGTCAACGATAGTTTTTTGAGGAGAGATTCAAGCGGATATATCAGTGCCCATAGTATTATTATTCCTGATAGCTAAAAGATGGAAATAACCCAAGTATCCAAAATCAGATGAATGAGTGAACAAATATGGTATAAATATACAATGGAATATTATTCAGCTATAGGAAGGAATGAAATTCTAATATACGTTATAAACCTTGAAAAATTTATGGTGATATAAGCTAGACAGAAAAACATTGCATAATTCCATTTATATAAGATTTCTAGAATAGGGAAATTGATGCAGGCAAAAGTAGAATAGAAGTTACTAGGGGCCGGAGAGAGGAGGATATGGAAAGTTACTGTTGAGGAGATACAGTTTCTTCCAGGGGATAATGAAAAAGTTCTGGAAATGGATGGGAGCAATGATTGTATAACATTATGAATATACATAATGAACATTATATGCTTAAAATAGTTAAAGATGAGGGGCCAGCACTGTGACGCAGCAAGTTAATGCCCTGGCCTGAAGTGCCAGCATCCCATATGGGCACCAGTTCCAGTCCTGGCTGCTCCTCTTCCGATCCAGCTCTCTGCTGTGGCCTGGGAAAGCAGTAGAAGATGGCCCAAGTCCCTGGGCCCCTGCAGCTGTGTGGGAGACCCAGAAGAAGCTCCTGGCTCCTGGCTTCAGATCGGCAGGCAAACCCGGCTGTTGCGGCCATCTGGGGAGTGAACCAGCGGATGGAAGGCCCCTCTCTCTCTCTCTCTACCTCTCTCTGTAACTCTGTCTTTCAAATAAATAAAATAAATCTCTTAAAAAAAAAAAAAATAGTTGGGGCCGTAGCGGGTAAAGCCACTGCCTGAGGTGCCTGTATCCCATATGGGTGCCGGTTCAAGACCCGGCTGCTCCACTTCCTATCCAGCTCTCTGCTGGATCGGTGCAGCTCCGGCCATTGCAGCCATCTGGGGAGTTAACCAGCGGATGGAAGACTCCCTCTCCCTCCCCCTCCCCTCCCCTCCCCCTCCCCCCCTCCCTCCCTCTCTCTCTGTCTCTGTCTCTCCTCTCTCTGTGTAACTGTGACTTTCAAGTAAAATAAATAAATATTAAAAAAAAATAAAAAAGTTAAAGATGATAAAATTTTATGTATATTTTACCACAAAATATTTTTAAAAGCTTGTTGAAAATTAGGATATTTACATAATCCCACAAAATACTTAATAATTGTAAAAGGGAAAAGTGTAAAGTGGAAAAATCTGGCAGAAACCACTCTAAGTGATCCAAGTTAACACAATTCCATTTGTGATATGCCTCCAAAAGCAAGGAATAGCTGGTGCTTAGCTCTCAATATTCTAAATCCCTTTCTTCCCTAAGAAAATGCATGACCTGAATCAATTTGGGTGGTGACATCATATAAATTCAAATTGAAGGACATTGTACAAAACAGCTATCCTATAATCCTTCAGAGTATCAAAGTCATGAAAATTAAAACTTAAGAGCTGTTCTAGATTAAAAGAGATGACAAAAATAGGACTGATAACTAAGTATATTACATGATCCTGAACTGCATCATTTTACCATAAAGGACACTGACTGAGCCAAGTGTTAAAACTTAAGTAGGGTCTGTGGCCATGGTCATAATTAATTCAAATGTTAGTTTCCTGATTTCTCTGCTGATACTCTGATTATGTAAAAGAATGTCCTTGTTTATGTGAAATACATACTGTCTGAATAGTGGAATGTCACAGCTTGCAAATGGTTAAGGAAAAAAATGTTCTTTATTCTATTCTTGAAGCTTTTGTACTTCAGAATTATTTCAAAATAAAAGGATACTTATCCAAAATTTAAAAGACAAAGATAAAAAAAAACTGAATGAGTTAGTGGTCGTGGCTGAGAACTAGATTCTAAGACTAGGACTGCATTGAAAGGCCAACTGCTAAAGAGATGGAAAATTTCCTCTGTTCAGCAAGTTATAAAAATACTCAAACTCAAGTGTTTCAAGTAGATAAAACTTTACAGATAGAAAAATAAACTAGCATACATGGGCCTTATAATTTTGAATTTAGAATTTGAAAACTAAAGATAAGACTGATCTGAATTCAAGATTAAACTTTACTATGAATATAAGAATAGTTATAGAACTGGACCATTTTATTTTGAATGATTCATATTTTCCAATGCCTTCTTGTTATAGGTGATGCTGAACAGGACCTTGGACCCCCTCCATCTGTAGATGAGGCAGCAAACACACTCATGACTCGTCTGGGTTTCCTCCTTGGAGAGAAAGTCACAGAAGTTCAGCCAGGTGACCAATACAGTATGGAAGTACAGGATGAAAATCAGGTAAGCTGCTTGCTGGCAGCTTTGTGAAATGGGATGAATTGTTTTATTATACAAGGAAAAAAATGGTTGCTTTGTGTGTATGTTCATCCTGAGAGGAATAATCCAAATTGTTGAATACTTTTTGAGGCCTGGAATGTATATAACTTAATTTTCCACAGTCACTATATTCCTTCAATATATGAAACATCTTTTAGTTTCATTCCTAGATTAAAAACCCAAAAGGCCACTTTTAGGTTTTGGTTCATTTACTTTGAGAAAATAAACAAGTAAACAAGTAAGCAAACAAGGCAGCCAAGAAACAAATTGAAATAGATGAGCACTGTACCCAAACATAGTGGAATACACATTCTTTTAAAGTGCACACGAATTATTTATCAAGAAGATGATGATCTGAGTCATAGAGCAGATATCAACTAATTTCTAAAGATTTCAGTTACTGTTAACTGTAGTGAAATTAATAAGTTATAGAATGAAAACTTAGAAAATGACAGCTAAAAGATAACTTAGATAATTTCCAAATGTTTAGATGTTAAATCACAACTTTGGAGTTGAAGAAGAAATTGGAAGATTATTCAACAGCTTTTGAGTTCAAGAATTAGAAAATATTATGAGCTATAATCATGGACATTAAGTATAACAAAACTTATAGTACATAGCTAAATATATGTTCAAAAACAGTCATTTGGGGCCAGCTCTGTGGCATACTCAGTTAAGCCTCCACCTTTGGCATCAGCATCCCATATGGACGCTGGTTCAAGTCTTGGCTGCTGCATTTTCAATCCAGCTCTCTGCTGATGGCCTGGGAAAGCAGTAGAATATGACCAAGTGCATGGGCATCCATGGGGAGACCTGGAAGAAGCTCCTGACTCCTGGATTTGGATCAAAGTCCAACTCCAGCAGTTGTGGCCATTTGGGGAGTGAACCAGTGTATGGATAACTTTTCTCTCTGTCTGTCTCTGTCTGTAACTCTCCCTCTCAAATAAATAAATAAATAGTTAAAAAATGTTTTGAGTGAATATATTATAAAAGTAGAAAATCTGAAAAATTTATCATCTAAGTGTCCTATCAGTTTAAAAGTATCAGCAATATTTTATGGTATTTTTGCAATTGTTTCATGTTTTTTTGATATTTATATTCTTTTTCTTTTTTATTGTCCTTTTTTTGTTTATTGATTTCTTCTTTTTAAGTTTTAGCTCCCAAATGTATTAGAGAATATCTGGTATTTTTCTTTCTGTGTCTGGCATATTTCACTCCAACAAAATGTACTACATTCTTTTTCATTTAAATGTAGCAAAGGAAGTCCTAGAGTCAGATTTATTTATGTGGTCTTAATCTTTACTATGAATGTCTTGTAGTGAAGCATTCTGTTCAGAAAAAAAATAAGTTTTAAACTGCATGTATCCTTTATTAGTACTGGTGAATACTTTGTCAAATACTCATTTTGTCATGATAAAATGTATACAGAGTATTTGAATATATTATATAGCTTTTCTATGACATTTTGGTGCTTGGGACGCTTTCCTGTTTTTACCCTCACTGTATAGGTCATTGGTTTGGCTAACTGTACATTATAATAACCTAGAGAGTTATAAAATTTAGATGCACGGTGACTAACCTTTCTGATTCTCCTCCATTCTCATTTCTTTAAATACTACCTTAAATCTAAATTAACTCTAGCCCTGCCTTTTCCCCTCAACTTTGAATTTATATATTCAGCTATCTACATAGTATTTTCTACCTATTTATTTAAAATATATCTCAAACTTGACATGTCAATAAATGAACCCTTGCATTTTCCCCTGGAACCTGCACCTTATTCAGTATTTCACAACTTAATAAATGATATCACATGCTTGCTTAGGCTGAAAGCATTGGAACAATTCTTGACTTTCTGTCTGTCACATCACAGATTCACCCTTTCTTCAAATCATAGGTTCTGTCTTCAAAATGTATAGTAAATCTGGCCGGCGCTGCGGCTCACTAGGCTAATCCTCTGCCTAGCGGCGCTGGCACACCGAGTTCTAGTCCCAGTCGGGGCGCCGGATTGCACCTCTTCCAGGCCAGCTCTCTGCTGTGGCCAGGGAGTGCAGTGGAGGATGGCCCAAGTCTTTGGGCCCTGCACCCTGTGGGAGACCAGGATAAGCACCTGGCTCCTGCCATCGGATCAGCGCGGTGCGCCGGTCGCAGCGCACCAGCCACGGCAGCCATTGGAGGGTGAACCAATGGCAAAAGGAAGACCTTCTCTCTGTCTCTCTCTCTCACTGTCCACTCTGCCTGTCAAAAAATCAAAAAAAAAAAAAAAATATATATATATAGTAAATCTGATCCCTCTCACTACTTCCTCTGCTACACCCAAGGTCAAGCCACTGTTAACCTTTCCCTGGGCAGCTTCATTATCTACTAGAAAATAAGGCAAAAAAAAAAAAAAAAAAAGGCTTGAAGTTTTGCCTTTTCTACTCCCTGCTATATTCTCTGTATCTAGAACGTTGTCTTCCATTAGTAGGTACTAAGTAAATATTTACTACTTGAATAAAAGGCCTCCTAATAGGTCTGTACTTCCACTCTTGCCTCTCTGTAGTCTGTTCATTGATACTAGCCTGAATGATCCTTGTAAAATGTGAATCTGATTCTGTCACTTTTGTGCTTTCAGTTTTCCTCTGTTTTCCCATCACACTTAGAATAAAATCTGAAGTCTTTTACATGACTGTGATCTAGCCCCTATCTCTCCTGCATAATGTCCTACCTCTCTCCCATTCACCCACTGCTCCCAAGCCACACGGGCACCCTTGTCATTCTGCAAGAGCATAACACATACTCATTTGTGCTGGAATGTTCTTCCCACATAAATCACTTCCTCACTTCATTCAGTGCTCTGCTTAGATGTTACTTCCTCAGAGAAATCTTGCTTCATTACTTATCTAATAGCTCCCGAGTTCCTGCCCATCACTATATCCCCTTCTCCTACTAATTTATTTTCCACATAGGTCTTATTGTAAGTAGTATTACATTACATATTCAGTTGTAGGATTTTTGTGTTTCATACAAGAAAGTAAGCTTCAGGATGGCAGGCTGATTATTGTTTGTTTGTTTTTTTTAATCAACTTACATTGTAACTATGTCTGCATTTATGCTCTGTGAATAAAAATTGAGAATGGTAGGGGCCAGTGTTGTGGCAGATTGAGTAAAGCTGCTAGCTGCAGCACCAGCATCCCATATGGGTGCCACTTTTTGTCCCGGCTGCCCACTTACAATCAAGCTCTCTACTAATGGTCTGGGAAAAGCAACAGAAGATGCCACCCATATGGGAGACCCAGAAGAAGCTACTGGCTCCCTCCTTTGGCCTAGCCCAGAACGGCCATTGTGACAATCTGAGGAGTGAACCAGTCACTGAAAAATATCTCTCTGTCTCTCCCTCTCCCTCTGTAACTCTGACTTTCAAATAATTGAATAATTTTTTTAAATTAGAATTATAAACTTTGATTTTTTTAAAAATTTGTATAAATATTTTGCGTTTCATTTCTTGATTTCATTTCATTAAAACGTGACTATTCTGATAATGTTCAACTATGTGATTATTCTGTGATTATATGATTATCCTCTGATCATTCTTTTTTTTTTATAAAGATGTATTTTATATTTATTTGAAAGAGTTATAGAGAGAGGTAGAGACAAAGAGAGAGGTCTTCCATACTCTGGTTCACTCCCCAGATAGCTGCAATGCCCAGAGCTGAGCCCATCTGAAGCCAGGAGCCTCCTGGGTCTTTTATAAAATTGCAGGGGCCCAAGGACTTGGGCCATCTTCCACTGCTTTCCCAGGCCATAGCAGAGAGCTGGATAGGAAGTGGAACAGCCGGGACTGGAACCAACGCCCATATGGGATTCCCACGCTTCAGGCCTGCTGTGGCACAGCGTCGGCCCCTCTCTGATCATTCTGATGATGACATCAAGTAACATTGATGTGTAAGTCTTCGATCTCATAACCTGCGTATTTCCCAGTGACCCGATTATTTCTACAAAACTACATTTCTTCAGGTGATAAAATTTATGCTTGTTGCATTTCAGTCTTCACATCATAGTGATTCCTAAACAAAATCATAAGTCTACAGAATGCACCTTAACTTGTACACTTACTAAATAAACTAATCTTAAAATAATTGAGTAAACCTTGATTTAATAATTAAAATAATATTGTGTGATAGAGAAGTCATTGAATCAGTAGAAAATTTGTGTTCAGGGGCCGGCACTGCAGCTCACTTGGCTAATCCTCCGCCTGCGGCGCTGGTACCCCGAGTTCTAGTCCCAGTTGGGGCACCAGATCCTGTCCCAGTTGCTCCTCTTCCAGTCCAGGTCTCTGCTGTGGCCCGGGAAGGCAGTGGAGGATGGCCCAACTGCTTGGGTCCTGCACCTGCATGGGAGACCAGGAGGAAGCACCTGGCTTCTGGCTTTGGATCAGCACAGTGCACTGGCCATAGCAGCCACTTGGGGGGTGAACCAACAGAAGAAAGACCTTTCTCTCTGTCTCTCTCTCTCTCTCACTGTCTAACTCTGTCCAAAAAAAAAAAAAAAAATTTGTGTTCCAATGTCAATTCCAACCACCTACCATTTTGGACATGTATTGGGCCTTTCTGAGCTTTAGATGTCTTACAAGTAGTAATAACTGATATTTAAAAAACGCTTGCAATATACCATTCATAATACTAATTGCTTACTTGGGCTATTTTGTTTAAGTTTCCTTACATTGCAGTCTAATACTGTCCATTCATATTATAACTTTCAGATAAGAAAATGGAAATGGTTCCAGAAAGTGATGGGACAGTATTCATATCCAGATTTCTAAAAAACAGACTTGCTTTTACTGCCTATATTCTTAACAACTATACCATAATATTCCTAGGTAATATGAAATAGTATAAACTGGCCAGATTGTCGTAGGGATCAAGTTAAGTCTTGAATATGAGAAGACTGTATAAGCTATAAAATGCAATATAAGTAAAAGGTATAAAATAATATGGAATATAATTATTATGTAAATATATGTGAAACTGGATGGTTTGGGGAAATTCATTATCTTTCATACTTTCAGTTTCAATTTCATGTCTTTTTAAAAAAGTAGGGAATCATACGCATGCTTCTCTTACAAAGTTGATACGGAGGCCGGCGCCGCGGCTCACTAGGCTAATCCTCCGCCTTGCGGCGGCGCCGGCACACCAGGTTCTAGTCCCGGTCGGGACGCCAGATTCTGTCCCGGTTGCCCCTCTTCCAGGCCAGCTCTCTGCTGTGGCCAGGGAGTGCAGTGGAGGATGGCCCAAGTCCTTGGGCCCTGCACCCCATGGGAGAGCAGAAGTACCTGGCTCCTGCCATCGGATCAGTGTGGTGCACCGGCTGCAGCATGCTGGCCGCAGCAGCCATTGGAGGGTGAACCAACGGCAAAAGGAAGACCTTTCTCTCTCTCTCTCTCACTGTCCACTCTGCCTGTCAAAAAAAAAAAAAAAAAAAAAAAAAGTTGATAAGGAATAAATGCAATAATATATAAGATGTTTTAAACTGTGAAGCATTACATAAATGTAAATGTTAATAATGAAGCTAAATGATAGCCTTCTTGAAATATAATATATCCTGAAACTGTCTTGAGACCACACAATAAGTGGCTTACTTTATAGTTGGAATTAAAGGGTCTGGCACTGTGGCACAGTAGGTTAATCCTCCGCCTCCATATGGGTGCCAGTTCTAGTCCCAGCTGTTCCCCCTTTGGATCCAGTTCTGTGCTATGGTCTTGGAAAGCAATGGAAGATGGCCCAAGTCCAAGACCGGAAAGAAGTCCCTGGCTTCTGATTCGTGCAACTCCGGCCATTGCAGCCATTTGGGGAGTAAACTAGCAGATGGAAGACCTTACTCTCTCTATCTCTACATCTGTTTGTAACTCTTTCAAATAAATCAACTAAATCTTTTTATTTCTTTATTTCTTTATTTTTTGCCAGGCAGAGTTAGACAGTGAGAGAGACAGAGAGAAAGGTCTTCCTTTCCATTGGTTCACTCCCCTAATGGCCGCTATGGCCAGCGCTACACCGATTCGAAGCCAGGAGCCAGGTGCTTCCTCCTGGTCTCCCATGTGGGTGCAGGGGCCCAAGCACTTGGGCCATCCTCTGCTGCCCTCCCAGGCCACAGCAGAGAGCTGGACTGGAAGAGGGGCAACCGGGACAGAATCTGGCGCCCCAGCCGGGACTAGAACCTGGGGTGCCAGTGCCGCAGGCAGAGGATTAGCCAAGTGAGCCACGGCGCCAGCTGAAATCAACTAAATCTTAAAAAATAGTAAATTTTTAAAAATTTAAAAAAGAGATCCAGATTTGGGACTCTCTTATTGATCCTTCTGGAGAACATTAGGGACAATGGAGAAAACTACCAAAAGGTTTAAGAAGTGGAGTGGCTCAGTTAGATGTCCATTTCAGCTTACTGCATGAAAAACAATGTTACCTTTCTGTATCGCTAGCCTCGTGAAATAAATATAAGTTCTGGCTTTTCAGTCGTAGGCCATGAGCAATTTTCTGTTCTCTAAACAACTTCATCTTTTCTTTTCAGTTGAAGCTTTTGAGGTGGACATTCTCTGATATATGCTCTATTCAGAAAATCACTTGGAGTAAAAATAATAAGTATTGTTTGGGCTTAGTCTCCACATTGGCTATATTATGCATATAATGCAGTTTGCTTTCACAAAGAAGAAAATGAGAATATTGTTTAAAGCAGGATGGATTGTTATTAAAATATTAGATTCATACCAGAATAAAACTTTGTTAAATTATAATAGTTTGATATATTTTATTAGACAAACTTTTAGCACAAGGTGATTTCCTTACATTTGTTTGTTATCTCTCGGCAGCTGCTTATATATCAAAGAGAATGCATTAAGAATTTTATTTCTCCTCAGCTGCAGAAGTATTATTTCTCTTTCTATATAGAGAGAATTATTAACAAAATAAAGTTCCAATCCTTCTGAAGAATTTTATTGATTGGAAGTAGCAAGGAAAATATGTGCTTAATTAAAAAAAAAATCATTCTGTTCCTTTAATGGTCAATTCTTTTTTTAATATTTTTTTTTGAATGTCAGTTACCGAGAGAGAGGGAGAGACAAGACCTTCCATCCACTGGTTCACTCCCTAGATGGCTGCAAAGGCTGGAGCTGGACCAGGCTGGAGCCAGGTGCTTATTCTGGGTCTCCCACATGGGTGGGAGGAACCCAAACATTTGCCCCATCCTTCACTGCTTTTCCCAGGCCATCAGCAGGGAGCTGGATCTTAAGTGGAGCATTCAAGATGAATAGACATGCATACAGGATGCCAGTATTGCAGGCAGTGGCTTTATCCCCTATGCCACAGTGCCAGCCCAGGATATTCAGTTCTTTGAATTAGTACTTTTTAAAGTGCTTGTCACTGGACATTTCCTTGGGGGTGGGCCCTTGCTACAAGTCTCTGCTAGTGTTAAATTCATCTAGTTTTCACCTTAATTGTACCTCTCAGAATCTTTTATACTGAAAAGCAAAATCAAGTAGAGCCTAATAGATAAAAGTGGCTTGCATGTAGATTATTTCTTCTTTTTTCATCAAAGCGTTTATTTTACCGTAAGATATACTTTACACAACTTGTGAGTTTATTTCTTCTTGATTCCATTTTTTCAGACTTCAGCAATCACCCAGCGAATAAGTCCCTGTTCCACCCTAACTAGCAGCACTGCCTCTCCACCAGCCAGTAGCCCCTGCTCCACCCTCCCACCTGTTAGTACAAATGCAACTGCCAAGGATTGCAGCTATGGGGCTGTTACTAGTCCAACTTCCACCCTTGAAAGCAGAGATAGTGGCATCATTGGTAAGTTGTTTTTTATATTAATAATTTTGTGTCTTTTTTTAAATAATTATACAAGCTTAAGGTTTTTTGAAATTATGCTTTTGAGTTGTTGAGCTATATATAAATGTGAAATTTGTCCTGGTCTTTGATGATACTGCAGAGAGAGAAATAAAGGTAAAGAAAATGAAATGCACCCCTCCCTGCTTAAACACTCACTATCAGGCTGTTACGTGACAAGAAGGGGTGGGCAGAAAAAAATCCACTTTTTCCCATGAACTCATATATATCATCTGTCTATCAATTGAAGTGGTTCATAAAAAGTTCATTCTTCACTAATATGGATAGAGAGTTTTATGAAAACAGAGGAGGTTAAAAGTTATTTGTGACTGCACTTCTCTGTGGACTCCAAAAGGTAAAATTATTTTACCACCCCTACTAAGTATTCAGTTAGGAGTAGGGAACAATTGGAGGAGGATTGTGTGGAAAAATCTACTTTTCCAAATTATTACTTAGATGATTTCAAACAATTCTTCCAAGATAGCCTATTGTTTATTTGTGGTCTATATTTAATTATGCCCCATTAGCAAAAAGCACAAAAGTTATTAAATATGTTTATTTTTAATTATTAATTTGAAACTCTTTTATGTATCTGTCAGTTCTGTGTGACTTGGTTTGAGGCAGTATGTTTTTTTAAAGATTTATTTATTTATTTGAAAGTCAGAGTTACACAGAGAAGGAGGGGCAGAGAGAGAGAGAGAGGTCTTCCATGCACTGGTTCACTCCTCAATTGGCCATAACAGTCAGAGATGTCCTGGTCCGAAACCAAGAGCCAGGAGCTTCTTCCGGGTCTCCCACGTGGGTGCAGGGACCTAAAGACTTGGACCATCTTCCACTGCCTTCCCAGGCCACAGCAGAAAGCTGGATCAGAAGTAGAGCAGCTGGGGCTCAAACTGATGCCCATATGGGATACTGGGACTGCAGGTGGCAGCTTTACCCACTATGCTACAGTGCTGGCCCTGAACCAGTATGTTTTATAATTATAGGTGTCAGAATTTTAACCGTTCATGCATATGCCTAAGTATGTCACTCTTGCAGCATGCCAAAATCTATAGAATCCTATTTATAGGTTCCAAGAAGGCAGAGTAGGGAGGGAGCTTACTGCTCTATAAAAAAAAGTAGAGAGAGTGCAGTCTCAGGGAAAGTTAGGGAGAAAATGGCAGAGGAAACTCCATGCAAATTAGAAGGACATGGTGCACCTACTCAGAGGGTGTGGAGACCCACAGCTCAGGACTCCAGCAGCTGAAAGCCTACACAACACCGTTGGAAAGTGAGGTGAGAGCAGACAACAGCAGCCCAAGACACTGGTGCTAAAGCTGCAAGCATAGCCTAAAGAGAGCTGGGCTTGGAGCCCTTGAGAGGATAGTGTACTTGCCATACAAGAGGAGAAAAAAAAAAGCAAAAGGAGGGGCACAATTCTCTCTCACTGATCACTTTACAAAGGTGTCCCGCAACAAACAGTACTCAACATTTTGGCAATACGTAACAGTGCGCAAGCTAGTGTCTGTGTTCACCAACCAACCAAGTCGAGACTCCTGACTCTGGTTAGGAGAGCTAACAGGGGGCTGGGAGCTCAAAACTGGGGAAACTTCTGTGCTGGGACTATGAAAAAAAATGAGGCATTGTGGGAGGATTGACAGAGTAGCTGGGAGTTTGGGCAGTCACTGTGGGAGGCTCCACACAGTCAGGGATTCCTGGTTACCTGGTGAGGAACATTGCTGAGGAATCTGAACTTAATACTGAGGATTGCACAGATCCTTTGTGTGGTCCTTGGGGAAGAACAGATGAATATTATACCCACTGGGGCTAGTGATAAGGCACTGATCTCCTTTCAGGAGAGGAGCTCAAGTGAGCAGAATAAACTTTTCCGTTTTTTTTTTTTTTTAAAAAAGAGAGATTTACCATTCCAGACCTGGGTGTGTCACCTTAGACACACCCCTCACCATGGAAAACTGAACAGAGCTCCCCTAGCACACCCACTACAAGCCTCTAGATATTCACTGAAAGCAGACTCTCCCTGTGTCTACTGAGTCATAGTACAAAGATAAAAAGCGCCACAGCAAAAGAAAAAAAGAAAAAAGAAACCAATGAGTATCACCACAAATGCCAAACAACACATGCACCAATTCAAGAAATAAGCATAAGGAAAACAATATGATGCCCCCAAAAGAACATAACACTTCAATACTAGATTGTGAAGACGAGGAGATTGAAGGAATACAAGAAATGGAATTCAAAAAATTGATCATAAGATTACAGAGAAGAAATCAGAAGCAAATACATGAATTAATGAAATCCCGTACAGGAAATGAAGCAAAATTCCTCCCATGAAATTGAGATCTTAAGGAGAAATAAAAAGAATTCAACAGAACAAATAAAAAACATAGTGGAAAGCCTTAACAACAGAATCTGTGAAGCAGAAGAAAGAATATCGAACTTAGAAGACAAAGACAAGAAATTACAGAGTCAAACCAAAAACAAAAAGAATAAATTAGAAAATTAAAAAATACTGTTGGGAATCTACAGGTTACTATCAAAAAACCCAGCATACAGATTATAGGAGTTGCTGAAGGCATGAAAAGAGAAAAGGGATTAGAAGGCCTTTTTAGTGAAATAATAACAGAAAACTTTCCTAATTAGGAGAAAGAAAGGGACATGCAAATACAGGAAGCACATAGAACTCCTAATAGAAATGACCAGAAAAGGTCTTTACCACAATACATTGTAATCAAACTCACCATAGTAAAACATAAAGATTTTCAAATATGCTTAGAGAAATGCCAGATTACTTTCAGAGGAGCTCCAATTAGACTGACAGCAGACTTCTCATAAGAAACCCTACAGGCTAGGATAGAATGGAAAGATATATTTCAAGTTTTAAGAGAAAAAAAAAAAAAACTGTCAAGCCAGAATACTATACCCTGCAAAGCTGTCATTTATGAGTGAAGGTAAAGTAAAGACATTCCATAACAAACAGAAATTGAAAGAATTTGTCACCACCCATTCAGCCCTACAAAAGATGCTTAAGGATGTGCTACATTTAGAAACATAGAAACATGGTCATCACTATGAAAGAAGGTGAAGGCAGAAATTCTCCCAATAAAAGTACAAAGGAAATTCAAAGTAAAAAATATAAATATTTAGGTAAAAATGGCAGGGCAAAGTCGTTACTTATAAATGGGCACCTTGAATGTAAATGGCCTCAACTCTGGGGTTTAAAGTAATAGACTGGCAGAATGGATTAAAAAAAACAAAACCCATCTATTTGTTGCCTACAAGAAACATATCTCACCAAAAAAGATGCATGTACACTGAAAGTGAAAGGATGGATAAAGATATTCCATGCCAACAGAAACCAAAAAAGAGCTGATGTAGCCATCCTAATATCAGACAAAATAGACTTTAACACAAAAAGTATAAAAGAGACAAAAAAGGGCAGTAGGTAATGATTAAGAGATCATTTCAACAGGAAGATGTAACTATTATAAACGTATATAAACTTAATTACAGGGTACCTGGCTATTCAAAATAAATGTTAAGGGATCTAAAGGGAGACATAGACTTCAATACAATAGTAATGGGGGACTTCAATACCCCATTTTCAGCAATGGGCAGATCAACCCTACTTATTTCCAGGGATTCATATATCACATTTTTAATTTGTTTTATTTAATTCATCATTTCCAATATTTCATTTTTATTTCTCTTTAAGATCTCCATTTCATGGGAGAAGTTTTCTTTCATGTCATGTACAGATTTCAGTAGCTTATGCATTTGCTTCTGATTACTTCAAAGTAATCCTATGATCAATTTTTTGAATTCCATTTTTGGCATTTCTTCAAACTCTTCATTTTCATATTCTAGTATTAAAAGTTTTGTATCCTCTTGGGGGTATCAAGTTGTCTTACCTAGTCTTGTTTCTTGAATTGATGCATTTATTTGGCATTTTTGGAGGTACTCATTGGTTTCTTTTTTTATTTTGTTTTGTTTTTCCATGTGATGGCTTTTATCTTTGGGCTACATCTCTGTGGCTTAGTGGAGTGTCTATTTTTAAGTGAATACCTAGAGGCATGTGGTGGGTATGGCCAGGGAGCTGTGTTAGTTGCCCTAGGGTGAAGGGAGTATCCAAGGTAACACCCAGGTTGGGCTTGATAAATCTCCTCTTTTTTTACCACAGGGGAGGTTTGTTCTGCTCTGTTGTTGTCATCTCATGCTCATTTCCTCTCCTCAAAGGAGACTAGGACCTTGGTGCTAGCCCGAGTGGGTGTAATATTCATCCATGCTGCCATAAGAACCACACAAAGTATCTGTGCAGTCTTCAGTGTAAGCACTGATTCTGCTGAAATGACTCTCACCAGGAAAACAAGGAACCCAGAGCATGTGGAGCCTCCCACAGTGACTGCCCTAAATCCCAGCCACACCCTGAGCCCTCCTAAGTAGCCATGGTGTTTTCACAGTCCTGGCACACAAGCCTCCCACAGTTATGAACACGCAGCCCCCTGTTAGTTCTCCCAGCCAGACTCAGAGGCCTCCACTTGGCTAGTTGCCTGGCGTGTGGACACAAGCTGGCTCATCTGTTACTTATATCCAAAATGGCACCTGCCCTCTCTATCTGGTAGAGAGAACCATACCACCATTTTTTCTCTTCCCTGAGACTGAGCTTCTCCTAGACTGTAGCAGTAAACTCCCTCTATATTCTGCCATCTTGGTCCCGATCTCCTATTTAATCTTTATAATAATCTTATTCGAAGATATTTGTAAAGATTTCACATCATCAGATCTTTGAAAGGATGCATAACACTCCACAGAAAATGTATATTAAAAGCTTTCAGTAAGGATACAGCGGCACAGAAAAGAGAATAGAGGTCAGCACAGAGGACGTGCCGCCCTCCAGGTTCAGCTCCCCAGGGTCCCTTCCTAATCACTTAGTGGTATGCTCTCTGTCCCTTAGAGTATAAGCTACC